CATTAGCCAGTTTCTGGCCAGGAGCCAGCCAATGGGCTTGTGCTGGAGGTGAGAACAGCTGCTAAAGTTTTTCCCCTCTCCTCCGAGCTCAGTTTTTAAAGTGAAACCACCCCACAGCTGCATTTCTGAGTGGTGTGTGGGTTGGGTGATGCAAGTGAGAAGCCTGCCTAGGGCTCCTGCAGCGTCCGCAGGTCAGATCTGGTGGCTTGGTGGGCTGAATGCGGCCCGTGGGCCATATTTTGCCCAGGCCTGCATTGACAGATACTTCAAGTGAAGCCTTTGGAAGATCCTTTTAATTATTGTTCATTCACAAATTAATAGTGGCACATGCAGTTGGCTATGAAGGATATGGAGAAAAATAACAAGTTTCAGAGAGCACCTGCTTAACACTTGGTGCAATGAAATGAACTGTATTACGAATTACTCTGGACTTTGAAAAGCAAGCATTTTAGAGACACAGAGTGCAATATGGTCTGCATCGTAGGCAGCGATTATGCGTAACTTAATAGTTAAGTATACGATTTAGTCATGGGTATTCTTAGTAAATGTCATGGGCAATAAACAGAAATTAATGACTGGTAATCTGTCTGTGACTTATAGTACTAAACCTGCTGACTAAATCTTGGGGGTGGGAAAGAACAACACTCATGGGGGAACCGGAAGTACTGCTTGTGGGCAGGACCAGGTTGCTGAGGCCATCAGCTGCCAGGGGTTGCACCAAAATGTTTGCAAGGTCTTATGACACCTGCAATCTCTGGGATAGGCCATTGGGGGCTGCCTGAGCAGTTGGCTGGTGCAGTTGGCCTCAGAGTCAGGGAATTGATGACTTCTGCAATGCATGTAACAGACACAGAGTTCTAGTAATAGCTAACACCGATGTTAGAGAAGGTTGGGCTAACTGATCAAGAGCAAAACAGTTTCCTTCTTAATAGCCTTATGGAGTCTTCAGCAGGCATTCCCCCACTCACGACTCTCTCTTCTGCAGGTGGTATTCCGCTCCACGTCTGCCATGGTTTACATCTTTATCCAGATGAGCTGTGAAATGTGGGATTTTGATATCTATGGTATGGACAGAACTTTTCGCTTGCATAATTTTAATATCCTGTCTTGTAAATACACAATGCATTGGGAATATGAAGTTAAGAATCAATTATCATTGACACTAAAGCTTTAAGTTAACATCATCTAAAATCTTACCCTGGTTTATTGTCCTTCGTCATGTAATTGTACTGGAACCCCCAAGGTAAGTTTAACACATGCCCACCTGTTTTGAGGTTAATAAGCAATACTGGCAGCTTTCTGATGCTTTTGTGTTTCTTTTTTTCCCCTCTCCCAGGGGACTTGTACTTTGAGAAAGCTGTGAATGGTTTCCTTGCAGATCTCTTCACGAAATGGAAGGTACTGTTGCAGTTTTGTGTAAAACCTTCTTTTAAAAGGACAAGGAATCTTTTATATTTTTTTTATGCATTTACTGAATTTCCAGTGGCAGTGACTCCTTAACCATGGAACTTGATAAACAAGGGCATTCACACCAAAAAGTTGTTTAAATTAGGGCTGTCCATTAAATGCATTTAATTAACTCAAAATTAATTGCAAATAAAAAATAAGCACAATGAATTGCTGTTTCATTTGCACTGTTAAAAATACAATACCAATTGAAACGTACTAAATATTTTTAGATGTTTTTCTGCATTTCCAAATATACTGATTTCAGTTACAAAGTGCACAGTGCTCACTTCACTTTTTTTATTACAAATAGTTACACTGTAAAAATGATAAATGAAAGAAATAATGTTTTTTGCTTCACTTCTCACAAATTCTGTAATGTAATCTCTTATCATGAAAGTGCAACTTACAGCTGTATACTTTTTTCCCCAAGTAATCACTTAAAGAAACAAGAATGTTTAAATTTATGGGAGATGTTGCTGCCTGCTTCTTACGTACAATGTCATCTGAAAGTGAGAACTGTGTTCACATGGCACTTTCAAGCTGGCCTTGCAAGGTACTTGCGTGCTAGAAATGCAAAATATTCATATGTCCCTTCATGCTTCAGCCACCATTCTGGAGGGCATACTTCAATGCTGATGATGGTCTTTAAAATATAACTCATGTGGCTGAACTCCTTGGGGGAGGATTGTATGTCTCCTGCTTTGTTTTACGTGCTTTCTGCCATATCTTTCATGTTATGATAGTCTTAGATGATAACTCAGCACATGTTTGTTTCAAGAACACTTTCACTGCAGGTTTAATAAAACACAAAGAAGGTACCAATGTGAGATTGCCAAAGAAAGCTATAATGCTCAATCCAAGTTTCAAGAATCTGAGGTACCTTACAAAATCTTGGCATTTTGGCGCATGTTTTCAGAAGTCCTAAAAGAGCAAGACTTTGCAGAAATTGCAGACTCCACATCACTGGAAAAGAAAATCAGTCTTCTGCTGGTGATGAAAATCAATCTTTTGACTCAGGTGATGAAAATGAACATGCTTTTGTCTGCATTGCTTTGGACCATCATATGCGTGGACATGTGTCCTCTGAATTGGAGGTTGAAGCATGAAGGAACATATGAATCCTTTGCACATGTGGCATGTAAATAAGTTGAGAAACTGGCTACAACAATGCCATGTGAATGCCTATTCTCACTATCAGGTGATGTAAACATGAAGAGGGCAACATTATCTCCTGCAAATGTAAACAAACTTGTTTGTCTAAGCAATTGGCTGAACAAAAAGTAGGACTGAGTGGACTTGTAAGAGCTAAAGGTTTTTTTTACATTGTTTTATTTTTAAATGCAGATTTTTTGGCCACTTTTTTGTCTACATTTGTAAGTTCAACTTTCATGATAAAGAGATTGCACTACAGTACTTGTATATTGAAAAATGCTATTTCTTTTTTCTACAGTGCAAATATTTGTAATAAAGTAAATACAGGCGTACAGTGCTCACTTTATATTTTGTTATAATTGAAAACAATTCTTTTGAAAATATAGAAAACATCCAAAACATTTAAATAAACATTTAATTTTTTTGTTTAACAGTGTGAAATTAATGTTTTAATCACTTGACAGCTGTACTTTTAAATAAGGAAATTGCAGCAGTTCTGGATAAGACACTTAAGGTGAGAGTGAGTGTGAAATGAACAAATTAGAGGGGAAGGAGAAATTTAAATAATCAGAGCTCTAAATCTTGAACATGTCAAATACATGGAAATTGTAACTGACATTGCCAGGTTTCCAGAAGGTGGGATGTGTGTACCTTCGAGTTATCTCCATGCTTCTTTGTTGCAGTGTTATAAAACATTGTGTAAACATTGGAGCTGTGTAAGACTTTAAGCAACTGGAAACTCTTTGTTTTTTTGAAAGTTTATTTTGTTTTAAGATTGGGAATGAGGGGAGAAGTTGCCATATGAATATTCTCACTTGGATATCTCAGTAATTCCTCACCTGGCCCATATCTCCCTTCTCAAAGGAGACTGGGAGATCTGATTAAGATGCTCTCTAGTTCATTAATGTGTTTGTTGCATAGGTAAGAAGTAGGGTTTAAGAGAATGGTGAGAAATATGCCTCTGATGACCTACTGCTAGCTTGGTTCTATATACAGAATTTAAACAGCAGTGTTATATACTGTGTACATTGTTGATTACAGGTATGTCTGTTCTTCTTCTTTTGTTCATGATAATCTCTTCTCCCTATTCTTTTCTGTATGTGCACTATTAATTACATACTGATGAGTTTGTGATTTCAGGGAGAACCTTTTTTCTTTTCTTCTTGCACAGGAGAAAAACTGCAGCCATGAAGTGACAGTGGTTCTTTTTTCTAGAACTTTTTATGATACAAAGTCTGTAGGTAAGAAACAATTGAATATTTTTTTTTCCTCTCCTCTTGCTCCTCCTTCTTTCCTCCACCCCTCATACTCTTGCCTTTTTAGTCTGCCCCACATCTCTTGGAGGTTGGTGTTAGCTAACAGTAGTTTGTGCCAACTCCATTATTGGGTTCTGTGTTGTAGAGTTCATTAGGCATGTGTTGCAGTGGATACCTTAATGGGTGAGGCTTACCAGTTAAGGATAGCCGGGGGTTGGGGGGTGGGCTGGGAGCAGCTCTCTATTCGCTGCAGGCAAGGGGCTACTCCAGCCCTGCAGGATGCCCTCTGCCTGTGGGCGCTCTGGTTCGCTGCAGGCAGGGACTTCTTCGGCATCCTGGCCGGTGCAACTCGCCCATTCCCCCTCACCATTAGCAAACTGATTAAATAATACTTTTAACTGGATAAGCAATTGAACAGGGTTTTACATTCCTAATCTATATATTCCTCTGTGTTTTCATATTGCATGTGTACAACTTGCACAACTTTGAGTCTGTTTTTAGGATTTGTTAAGTCCTTGTTCTGCTCTAGAAAGTAGGAGCGAGATGGGTTCAGTGTATCTGTAAACTTGCAAATACCCTTATTTTCTTGTACCATAACTCAAGTATATGTCAAAAGGTGAGCAAAGCTGCCCTTCTTGTGCTAGGAGGAAGCACTTTCTGTTCTCAGGAGTCCTGTGCCAAACACAATGGGTGCTTGATCAGTCCCTGCATGCATCTTCTGAGGAAAGCCTAATATGAGAGGATGTAGGGCATATATGCAGATTGTCTCCATAGTACTTATTCCTCTTGTAGAAAGACACTTATGATGGCATTTTTAAACACAATTTAATATTTTCCTAGCAACCTGATTTTTCTGGGTCAATTAGATGTACTTTCTAACTTCCCTTTACTGAAAAAGGTAGTAAGATCTCTGAATGGGGCATCTTCACCTTTGCTTCCCTCTCCATTTCAGATGAGTTTCCTGAGATACATCGTGCCTCAATTCGCCAGGATCATGAGGGAAGATTTTATGAAGATTTCTACAAGTATGTTTTCCTCTGTGATGGTTTTGGGTTTTTAAGGGATATTTTTGAACACCACGTATGTTAAGGATGTAAATATCCATTGAAGTAGTTAAAGTAGTTAATATTGCGCTGTTTAACCAATATACAGTTGGCAGGCAGGCACAGGGTTGCGGGGGCCCTTCCAGCCCACCTGGGCCGCTCCAGCGTGGCTGGAGCTAGGGTTCCACCAGCTGGATGTGAATGTGGCCTTGCCTGCTGTCCTGATGTAGCTAGAGCAGCTCCGAGCCTGGCGTAGCTGGCTGTCCAACTAGTTACCCAGTAAACCTAATGCTTACTGGTTAACCTGTATCCCTAATGCATATGTAATTCTCGTTAATGAAACCCGCTTCCTGCTAGAATGAATCACAATGGCAAGTTCTTAGTGTAATGAAGGAACGTCTCTTTCTGAATCC